TTTACATTTACAATCTTTTTTTATCGGCTGCGTTAGAACAGAATTCTGTTCTAACGCAGCCGATAAAAAAAGATTGTAAATGTAAAATGTAACTTTTTTGACCAAAGTTTTATCATTTACATTTGTTGCTACAGATCTAGTAAAAAAACAAAAAAATCAACATTTTCTTACTTTAAAGAATGGCACTAATGACATATGTGGTTGCGACTTGTATAATGTATGCAATCGATCGGTAAATGTTTCTGGACCTATTGTACCTTCCTGAAAACGAGATCAACAGAAAGATGTTATCGTCTCAACTGGCTGAAAAGTACAGTTAAAAAAGAAGAACGTAAACCAGTTACTGAAAAGGATATTTAGATTTTTCAAAAGAGCATACCCAACACGTTGTTTTCAGTATACATTTATATCCATGCTTACCAGTAATTCCTGTATACATTGTTTAACCATTGGTAATTTATCTGGTGCTTGTTTTTCGGCTAATTTCAGCAATGTAGTTAAAAATGTCCGACATTTTGATACGAAATCGATCACTTGTGATTCAGTAAATGTTGTTTGTTGAGGTTGTAACTTCTGTTGTTGAATAACTTGAGAAGGTTTTGTGGTTGTTATTAGAGTAGTAGGTACCATTATTGCGGACGAAGAAGAAACAGAAGCTGGTGATGTAATAGTGGTTGACGATGACCATAGTTGGTGTTGATTATTCGATGCAAGAGCTAAATTTGAGGTACCAATTGTTTGTGGACGTTGAGTGAGCACAGTCTGAAGTGTTCCCGGTGTATATTGAATGGGCTCTATATTATAAACAAAAACTAGTATTTATATGATCGCGGACTGCGAACAAGAAAAGCATTATAAGTAAAGCTGACACTAATAAGAAATAAGTTTTGTTAAGAAAAAAAGTATATATCAGTGTAAACAAAGTTGCAGCGAAGATCCATGTTCTTCATGAGATAGTTACCTGTTTTAATTGTGTTATACTGGACGGTGGGCGATGTTGAAACTTGTTTATTAATAACCATATGATTTGGATAAATGATTTGTTGTTGCTGAGACATACTTCTTTGAATTCCTTGTAGTTGAACAGCCTGAATTTGAGCAGATGGCTGAATAACACCATTTTGTTGTTGTTGAGGATGAAATGGATTCTGAATCGATGACCAAATTGCAGATGGGATTTGTTGTGGTTGTTGAATAGACGAGGACGGTATACGAACAATGTTTGGTGATGAGGAAATTAGATTGGAATTTATACCAACGGTAGCATTCTGAGAAATGGACTGACGAATATTTTGAGTAGTATTACCCAAATTGTTGATAGTTAAATTGTTATTGATCGGTTGAGTGAACAGAACGGTCTGAAATCATACAAAAATTACAACTTAAAAACGATGATGTCATGACATTTGCAAAGAATTGAGGAAGATTACGGAACTAAAAACCGAATGTGTATCAGTCAACTTCGGAAAGTGATCTTAGTTGTATCTACTACTCTGTCTAGGAAAAGAATCTGCTCAAATAAAAGTAATATGTAATAGAAGAATCTTCTTTCTAAATTAACTATTATTAGAGTAATTTGTCCCCTTTTACGTGTTGACACTATCTGTAAGTTGATAATACTCAATATGCAAGAAAAATACGATGTTTTACTGCTTCTAAAGCATGCAACCCTTTTAATACTGCTAAAAATTCCATACGTATCGAGGAAACATACATTTATCATGACTGCTCAAAGTATTTCTCATCGTTATTCAGTGAACCACTTTTCTGATCTGAAAATTCTGTGCTAGAAGCTATATGATGAGAAAAGCTTGGAGACCCCTATAGGAACATACAGATCAGATGATCGACTTAAATTTTGTCGATAAAAATAAAACATGGTATACTATGAACCTGTGGTACAACTTGAATTTTCGGATTGAGAGATGCCATATAACAACAAGCAAGATCTAAAATAAACAAAGTTCGTTTTTAAAGTAAATAAAGTTAAAATACTTACAAAACGTAAATTTTAAACAACGAATTAATAAGGAGAATGACCCTGAAAACACTAGCTAATGCAGACTTGCAGAGCATTTTTTTTATTAGCACATTTAATAACTAAAATAGTCGATACTATATATACGATAGGCTCTTTCTCAAAAACAATGCTCATTAGCTCAAGTTAAAGTATAAGTCGTCTCTATAACTACCCCCTGAGTAGTATAAAAGCATTAAAATTTTTAGAATAACTCCAGTTCTTCGGCTTGTTTCTGAACAAACAAATGCTATCTAATATTAAAAAAACAAAAGAAGTTACTTAAAAGAGTGTGAAAGGATTCCTCATTTGGAAACATTTTCTTTAACATAATAGATAGTTCGACAGTCCTTTCTCTTGCATATAACAGCTAGACTTATATCAGAGATTTAATTCAACAGAACTCATGACAACTCGACCTTGAAATGGAGAAAGGAAATTGCCAACTACGTTTTTCATGAGGCTTTAAACATCTACAGCTTATCTTCGTATTTTAATTCATTTTTTATACTTCTTTATGCTGAAAACAGAATGCACATTTAGTTTTCCGAGTATATTTTACACTTGACTTTTCCTGTACATTCTTCATTAAAAACGCTGCTTGATACAACTATATATATAGACATATAAGCAAAACAAAATGATTCTCATCACATCCATTAATCATCCAAAATTTATTTAATTCAAAGAACTAGCCAATGACACATGATCATATTTGTCGCTGAGATTGTTTCTCATGATCTCATTTTAAAGGCAAATCTAAATCATCTATATACATGTATAAACCACAGGAAAGTTTCAGTATCTTTTCTTTCCTTAAATGAATTTAAACAACAGTCTCAGAGGATGCTACAATCAATTTAAATCGAAAGACAATGAAGGTAAAATTATTAGCCTATTAGCATGGCAGTAAAACTGCAAACAGTATCCATCTTTGATTCACATCTGGCTTTTACTGTATAACATATAGTACCAAACTTATCCTCGTAGAAAAAATAGTTGCACACAGTATTTTTAAGATATTTTCCTTACGAAAACATACTTTTACAAAAATGATCACCTATTCTGATAGCGCTTGGAATTCTCTACAATTCTGTATATTTAAATCTGATCTTGCATTTATTTGCTGAAAAATACATTGAGTGCAATGACGGCCCCCTCATCGTCAGATTCCCAGAAATTGTAATGAGTGTGGCATCTCAATATTTTCTATTTTTCTCGTGTTTCTTTAGGACCCAAAGGTTAATGTTTTTTTAAAAAGATGGGTCGCGAAATGCTCTACACAACCATACCTAACCTTTAATTTTATAGCTTCAATCAAGAAAACTACGCAGATTATACGAAAGACGAAAAAAATCAAAACTTTGAAAATCTGTTATTTTTTTCCTCCTGAACCTTTTTCTTTTGCTACTATTTTCGTAAAAAAGGGATTGCAAAAGTGAGAAGTCAGTTCTTTTTGTACTTATGAATGTGCTCTTTCTCGTGATCTGTAAAAAATCTTTTAGAACAGATGGTGTGGGAAAAACTAAAAAAGTAGCGAAAAAATGCACCTTTCTGGTACTTGTCAATTGGGGATACCTTCGCTGTAGTCAAGTTATTTTTCAGCAAATAAATGCAAGACAAGATATAAATATACAGAATTGTAGAGAATTCCAAGCGCTATCAGAATATGGGATCGCTTTTGTAAAAGTATGTTTTCGTAAGGAAAATATCTTAAAAATACTGTGTGCAACTATTTTTTTCCACGAGGATATTTTAAGCAAAACCTTTCAGAAAGTATAACGCAGTGGTTGAAAATTAAAAAAAGGTTAACTAGTCCTTTCCTTAGTTGAATACCCCATGCACATCTATTGTATTGACAACCCCATGCACATCTATTGTATTGACAAACACAATGAAGTGCGTCATGTCTCACATAACAGTTTAAGCAAACAGTCGTATGTTTATATTCGTATATCCTCCTAAATGCAGAAACCTAGCTTACACAAGAATAATCACCTTTTCCGCTAGTATAGCGAAAAAATTTCGCTTTTTTTTACGGATAAAATCTCCTAAACCATCAGTTCATCATTAAAAAAAGATTATTAACTTGAAAAATTTTCAGAACAAGAGGTACAAATTTTTATCCGCTTTGAAGATCGCTTTAGGTGGCACCTCAGACTGAGATCTTCCTTCAGTCGTATTTTACGACTCGCAGGATGTCCGTTTTCAGATTCTTCTTGAAGTTCAATACAGTACAGCACAGCACAGTATAGTATTGTATGTTACAAACACAAATACGAGGCTTAATTTAATATATAGACATAATATGAAATTATTTCGATTTTCAAAGTATGGATACCACAAGACTGACACCATCAGTTAAATACAGTTAGTTGACTCCAGAGTTACCTAGATAGTCCGCATTTTGCCTCGATTTTTGAGTTTTTTCCACAATTTGTCCGCATTTTCTGCTTTTGCTATTTTTCCCCTGATTAGTTAAAAATTCGTTTAAACTCATCGTTATCATGCACTTAAATTTATAATTATTTCTCATCAACGCTAGAACTGCTTAAACTTACTCATTCTAGTCAAAAATATACAGTGAAAAAACGTGTCAATTAAAATCGAGATTTACATTTCTGTTTGTTGTTCTCTTGTGTTTTATTGAGTAAAGTAACAAAGCTCTAAAGAAAGCATTTTCTGGACTCTCTGCGCATGAAAAAGGATCAGGTTAGACCATGAAAATGCGTTTCCGTTTTTTTTCTGCATTCTGACAAAATTTTCTGTAATTTTTTGAATTTTTATTCCGCATTTCTGATCTGAGCATCCGACAACTCTGGTTGACTCGTTCTTATTTTTGTTTTTTTAAATGAAAACCCATATAAAACAATGTTATTCACAAGAAACACAGCGACAGACACTCTTTCTTGCGCGAAAAAAATTTATCTCAACAGAAATGCATAATTAGATGCCATGAAACAATGATATAAGCAAAATGTATACGATTCACAATTAATCGACAGCGTCATTTTGAAAATTTTTGATGAGATATACTTATTTTGTTGTATTCGTTTAATTTGTATAGTTTTGGTGTGCAAAAAAGTCAATATTTTTGTGATGTAAAAGTAATTTGATACATGAATTAATGAGAGTTACGCGAATCAAATGTGTTAGCAGAAACGAGTACTTTCAAATGTTTTGTGTATAAAACTCAAGATCAACACTAGCATAATTTATCTGTGCTATGCACTATTGAAGAAAATTTATAAAAAACGCTCTGCTTTTTATTTTTCGGCCTCATCACAATAGCTTGTGAGCAAATCCGAAATAAACATTCATATAGGTGACAGAATTTCAATTAAAATCTCTAGAATATTCTCACTCCCAAAATCAAATACTGTGAACTCGTTCGAAATGTTTTGCAAAAACTTCATACAAACATTTCCGGACAGAACGACACGGCTGCAAGCTCTTCACGACATTTTCTTATCAAATTGCAGCCAACTTCACTCTACTCATCAAAACTTGTAAAATTGACAGAAGGACGACAAAAAATGCCTTTTCTCAATTGGTTGCAATTTTATGCAAAAATTTCGTGGAGAGCTTGCAGGCGTTTCATTTTGTCCAGGAACGGAAAAACATTCCCATTGCATTCAGTGGCTTGATTTCTTATAGTTCTAGTTTTCGAGAGACTCATATCCACAAATCGTTATGGAACTTTTAGGTACACCATCTGCTTAGCAATTCTTTCAATTGTTCAATTCTTTTTTTCGGATTTGTTCTAGCTACTATAATCGCGCAGAAAAATCAACAAAAATCAAATAAAAAAAACAAGGTTTTTCTATAATTTTTTATAGTACTGTATATTATTCAACGAAACAACAGTATATTTATATATATCTTTCTTTTCGATGAAATAAGAACATTGAACTAGTCATTCGATCGAGAATCTATCTAATGTCTTTTCAATCATAATTTCGAATTACATACCAAGAGAGGACAAAAGTATCGTTAAAAAAAACTAAACTTCACTCATATATACTTCAACCAACATCTTTTTCGCTAACTAGACGACAATATCAAACATATTATCAAAAACAAACCGCTAACAAAAAAAGAAGAAATTACACATGTATATACATATATCAAAGGAAGAACTATATGTTTTTGTTATCTAATTCAAAAATGAATAACACATTTTAATTTATCGGGAGAAAAAGATAATTACACGAAAAGATGTTGAGATTCATAGAGTATAGAATATCCAAAATAACAAAAAGAGTAATTGGAAGACACAAAATAAACATTATAAAGTACAAGTGAAGAAATGACTTTGCACATATAGATAGGTGTATGAATGAACAGCAGTAAAACGGTTGAAATAGATATTCTTGCTATTTTGTATAAATTATATCGTCTACCTCAGTTCGTACAAGGAAAAAAATTTAGGTAAATATCGAATTCGAGAACTTTTAATTTGAGACGAAGATGTGTCTTATGTCTCTTTGCAATCTTATCTCGATGAACTTTCAAATCGATCCATAATCAGGAAAATTTTATCTTACACTTTATGAAGCAGCTCCCCTCCTCTCATCAAACAAAATTAAGATTGCAATTTTCATTCTCGTCTCTACAAAATCCTTTACTAATTACCGGAATAAGGTTGTATGTTGTACATATCAGCATGCTAATTCACATAAAAAGTTAGCAAACTGTCAATAGATAAAGAAACTGATCAGCACCAAATAAGTGGAAAAAATTTCTGTAGTTGCTAGACAATATGCCATGAGTTATCAGAAAAAGATGAGTTTGCACATCCTAACACCATACGTATGTTAAAAAAACAAAAAAAAGAGTAAAATAAATAAGAAAAAATTCTATTGCACAAGAAGAGAGAGAGAGATGTCATTTTAGAAATTTTTATGCACGGAGTATGCACAGTCAAGAGAATATTTTATAAGCACAAAAATATGCGATGAAAAATCAGTTGTATCTGAATAGAACCATATCAGTATTTTCTACAGAGAAAAATTAATATTTCTAACTGATCAGTTAACAAGCCTGATTCCAGATAGAAATACATTTTTTTCATCATCATCATTAATAAACTTATAAACGTATCTCAAGACAAAAAGAAACAAGAGTTCACGATTAATGTTCTGAATGTGCGCTTGTCATCGATAAATCTAATACACCATCGTCATTGCCAATTTCTTCTATATTTAGAATTTCACTGTTTTCGTGTTGCTGTTGTTGTTTTTGTTGCTCTAATTCTTCGAGAGCATTTGACGCAACTTCGGATAATTTTAGTAAATCATGTGATGATAACAACGGCCGCTTTCTTATTACAGTTAAATCAAGTGGTTCTAAGATAAGACTTATTTCAATTACTTAAAAATATTGCACAAAAAGAATCTACTTACGCGCAACTTGATTTGTACTTTGTCTTAAAAGTTCTAAATCTTCTTCGATAACACGCCTATTTATACGATTGGATACTAGCGGTGTTACTCGCGGACGATTTGGTCGTCGAATCTTTGCAGTTTGAGAGGGCCTAGAGGAAGACTGTCGACGAGTTTTTGTCGACATTTTTTGTTTACGGTTAGTTGGTGATGGTTCCACAATAAGCGACTGAACTGGTCTTAATTTTCGTTTAAGTTCACTCTGTTTCGATTTAGAACGAGTGGCGATTGGTTGACGACGAGAAACGGGTGGAGGTGATTTCGGTGTTGTTTTTTCTATTTTTTTTCTAGGAGATCTAGAACTATCGGCTTCATCATCTTCTTCTACTAAATTACTATTTTGAGTTGTTAGAATTTTTGCTTTTGCAAGATGTTTAGAGCAATCGTCTAAAGTATATAAAAAGAAAATTTTTAGCTAGATTCTCAACAGGCAATGATGCGGCTTTTTAGACAAAAAAGTGAAAATAATAGCTTTATGATTTCAATTCAGACGATTATTTTCGTGCAATTTTTTTTATCTCTTTCGTAGTAATGCGAAACTCATACTCCAACTAAGAATAAAAAACAATAAACATCCATGAATAAGGTTGCTCTTTTTCTTTGATAAGTTAAATGAGTGTTTATTTTCTTAATTTGACTTTTCTATAAAGTTTCGTTAACAATGATTCGAGTTTGAACTCGAATCATCGTTAATATAAGAAAAATTACAGCATTTGCCTGCGTGATATGTGAAAATAGAAACTTCTATATTGCTATAGTAATATACCCAAAAACCTTTAGTAAAGGTCTCTGTTGAAATTGAGAAAATAAAATACTCACTGTATTCGATCGAGCCAACGGAACTCCCGGTTGATCTGATTCTTTTTTGTGTTCTTCGTTTGATAATACAAATTCCATAGGTATGATCTGTACTTGGAAAAGGAGTATAAATAATGGGAGTAGATGATTTGACGACGATTGATGTACGACGACGAGCACTAAAAAAATGCAAAAATATATACTTAAACTGATATAAACAAATACCAAACAAATGTTCTTACTGTTCCTCGCCACTTTTTTTCCTATCATCGTTATCAATAGAATTTTGTCGTTGTCTTTTTGAATCTCGTATTTGAGAGTTTGAATAACGTTGTAATATTTTTTTACTACGCCATAATTTTGAATCACGAGTACGTTTTGAAGAAGATTGAATTAAATTTGATTTATTTGAATTATTATCACCTAAAAATAGCGAAAACATTTGTAAATTTTGCAATTTTCAACACTGAAAAATTTAGATGAATAATAAAATTATTATTGTAAAATAGAAGATGACAGACTTCTAACTATGCCATAAGCATAACAATTAACATACTGTTTTCCGGTGCACGTCTTTTCGCTGAGGATGAAGATGGTTTAATCGGTAATGATGCGGTGTCTGTTGATCGAACATGATCTATATAAATGCACAACATAATATGATAGAGATGTCGCTCATATCTCGTATGTACATCCTTACTCGAATCAGCTTCATGATCGTTAGTATCAGTTTGCTCACAAAATTTTTCAAATAAACGAGGGAATAATTCTGAAAAATAATAAAAGAAAAAAACTAAAACTTCTATTTAATATATACAGGATATTTACCTTTGGATTTCACTGTTGCTTTCGGGGCAAAGTCACTTAAAATCGATGATGGACATTTTGATTCACTAAAGAAAGTAAAAAAATATCACATGTAAGATATTTTAAGCCACTTATATGTTTACTTTGTTGTTGTAGAATCGTGTTGATTAGGTGTAGCATTGGATAATGCACTGAAATAAAAGAGTAGAAAAGTTTGAATATATAAATGCAAGTTTGAACAATACACATCAAAAATTAGCTAGTAACACGTTTGACAATTAATTTCATACTCTTTCTGTTTGGGTATATCAGTTACTGTTTTTTGTACTGGTATGGAACCAAAAGCCTTGCTTAATAAAGGTCGATAGTAAGGATCGATTGTCCATACACTACGATGATGATGAGGTATGGCCTAAACAATAGAATACGAACAGTCATTATTTTCACAAGTATTCAAACCATAAGAAGGGTCATAATTATTCATAAGTGCTGAAAACATCCGACGATAGAAAAACGTCTGACACATCTATTACATATGTTATGCTTTAAAAAAGAGAGTTCTAAGTATTGAATTATATTTTGAAATATTGTTATCAATAATTATGAAAATTCATATCAAATTTCATTCTGCTCTATAATCACTTACTTCTCTCTTCACTTTTTTGAAACATGGTATTTGAACGAGCGTATCTCTGATTGCATTCTTCCAACCTCGTTTAGCTGTTTTATAATACGGATACTTTTCTTGAATATCTTCGTATAAATCTTTAATTGATAAACACCATGACTTTGTCTGAGCTTTTAAGGACAGAAATATGATTACACCATACGATAATAGTGGTTTATCTTGATTCGTTGTAGTTGATGCTAATTCCATTTGTCTTGGATCAACTTGTTTCAATTCTGATATTAATTTTGCCAATAATTTAGTCGTTTTATTTTCTTCATCTTGTTGTTGATCGCCAGTGCCTGAGTGAACTATAATAACGTACAAAAGAAAAAAGTATTAATAAACTAGTGTATGATGTTCTGTTGATAGTACAGAATTTAGTTCGGATCTTGATCTGTACGAATGATTTTTTATTTTAGTAGTTTCGTGTTAGAATGATATAATGAGATGATGTTCGCTTTCATTCTTAAGCAGGAAAAAGTTTAAATCCAATTAACATGTTACAAAAAGTTATCGTGTTATGAGATATTCCCCATAAGCGAATAAGCTATTCGTTATGATACTTACCTTCATCTTTTATCGCTGTTTCAATTTGTTGGTCCACTTTGAAGTTATTCAGCCAAGATAATTCCGTTAAATCATGATCAGATTTTAATTTAATAGGCGTAGAAGTTATGGATGCAAAACATGATTGACTTAAATAAGGTGTGATCGGTTTCGTGTACGTTGCAGATGCTGTTGTCACTGGTTTTAGAGTGCTAAAAACAGACAACATAAAGCAGGCTGAAGAATGGTAACCATCGATCAACTTTTCCTTCGAATTCTTTTATGCTGCGCTATGACTCGTTATAAGAATTCATGCGTTAGTCTTCCATATTTCAAAGAACTCTTAGTTAGAAGAACTCTAGTCTACTTGTTGTGAAGATCTATTTATGACTTAGAATATGCCACACATTATAAGTAAAGCCGAATCTATTACAGAAATCAAAACACTCTAAATTATCAATATTCTCCACTTCATGAAGTTTTTAGCATAGACTTAAGTCAACTTTTAGTTCGCTTTAGTATGTCGTTTTACAACATTGACTTGAGTTAGCGCTTGAGGTGTCACAAGTGAATCATTAACTTGATATAACAATTCCACAGGGTTAAGATAAATTTAAGTCGACGCATAAGATTTTTGATGAAACATCAAAAATTAACTCAACATCAGATTAAGATCAAGTCGAGGCTTGAGTGCTCACTTAAGTTTAAATACTGCTTGAGAATACTGATAAAACGAATTCCAGGCCTAAATTGTCATTATCAGTCAGCGTCAAGCTACTACCTAGCTGTTCAGTTGTTTGCGATTAAGTTGATTGATAACATATTTAGAAGAGGTATAAATTTGATAAAACACTTAGACAAAGGAAGATGCTTTCTATTATAGCTTTGCTGATACATGCTGGAAATCTTCCTCTAGGTCAAAAGGAGTACGTACATGGATCAACTTTAGTTATAAACTTGATAAAAAATAAAATACCTAACAGAAAAGTATCTTAGAACATTTTTTGATAAATTTTTACACACACCTTTTTGTTATCGGTGTTTGTGGTAATAGTGACACGGTAGTTCGTGTAAAACTGGACAGTAAACTTCCATCCATACTGCAATCACTATCTGCATTGTCAAGACGATTCTCATTTGTTAAGCGAAGAGACTGTTGTTGTAAAAAGTCACTTATTTCATCAGAACTTGCAACACGATAGAGAGAAGTAGATAGAGTAGAGGTTTTTGTTGTTGGACGAGAATAATAACTCGAATCACATTCATCATCTTCGACAGGAAGCGGAGGCTGTTGTTCTTTCATGAGGTTTACAGTCATCATAGGAGAATAATCATCTGAAATAGTTGCAAGAAAAATTTACAAATTGAAATAAGTATACCATAATAAAAGCAAGTGTCAAGGCCATCCTACATTAGACTGTTAGTTTATTGTACAATTGTATCTGATAGGGTCCTGCCATTGTATTGTGCCTGTACTATGTTGTTCAGCCAAAATTTGGCAGAAACCGGCTTCGTTAAGAATCACAGAATATATGGACAGTTTCAATAGAGAAAATGTATTCCATCAACATATTAAATTTTCACTTTATCTATGTAAATTTTAGACTACAAGCCACTATTCATTTTAAAAACAGAAAAAGACTGCTATAATATATTTCATTTCCCCTACGCAAGCATAGAACTTCCTTTGTTGTGCACCCTTCAAGATATATACTATAACACTATATCCCTCCTACAAAACATTTGTTTCTCACTTTGCTATATAAAATTACTTGAGATTATTTAGTACTTATTACTACTACTTGTACACTTTTAAAAATCAATACACTTGAAACTACAAAACTATATAATGTTATCTTGTTCAGTATGTAACCACTTTCTTAAGTATATTAGATCAATAGATTTATTTTCTCTTTTGATCGACAATGTACGTTTAAAGTAAAAATAATACTCCTCTCTCTGTCTCTCTTGTTTATTGATAATTTTACTTATTCAGACTGAAGTGCTGATTATTAGAATAACTACTTTGCTCAAAGAAAAAAGAAAAAATAAGTTTTATGTAGTTTGACCTTTCTTTCTTCATACAAACGGAATAGTACATATATTATACATAGAGCAGAGAGAGAGAAGAATAGAACGAAGACGCCATTTTGTAACGATGGTTTGAGGTTGTCAGGACACACCGAGAGATTTTAGAAAATTTAGAATTTTTGAAACCTGTGTACTTTTTAAGCTATAAAATGTATATTAACCATAGTTGGTCGTTATAAAAGTTCATCATCTTAAATCGATTGAATGTCAGATGGAACGTACCTTGTGTAGTGGCGTCACCTTTTGAAAACCAATATTATCGAAATTAGAATTAGGCTTAGATTAGGTTAAGATTGCTACTAATACTAGAAAATGAGAGCAACACAAACTATCGTTGGCTGTAAATATCTCGCACACATAAAGCATTAAGCATAAAAAAAGTTCTATCACTGACTTTTTTTAAAAATTTGTTTTATCGCCACTTGATAATTCGAAGATGAAACGTAATAAATATGTTGTTTTCAGTTAAACATGTAAACTTCTATTCGAACTTTATATTTTGACATATAATACAGAAAAATGCTGGTCGTGTTTTCTTTTGGAAATAACTGTTTTTTTGTGCTGGATTTTATTTGGGAAAACATGATAAGCAACTTCATTTTTACCATGTGGTCGAATATTGTATCTGAATAGCACAATTTAGTACCCTTCAGTAAAATTCCTTCTCTCCTTATAAAGACAAGCTGCCATGAAACTGACTTTTAAAAAAAAGCTGTATTCTATGTCCTATGCTCCAAGCGTGTGATGAATTTAAGATAAGTGGAAATTTTCATTTTGAGTTAGCAAAGAAATTTTTTCTAAGCGAACTGCACACTCCGCCTACGGAAGTCTAAAGAATCTTCAATGACGGACATAAAAGACATCGACATCAATCATCTCAGTATTATTTAATATGAACATTGAAGAAATGTTCGCCATATACGCAGCCTACAAAAATAGCTAAGTAAAGGTATAAAACTTTTACATCTTTACTTAGCGGAGTTGATCGAAATTTCTTCTGCCATCTCCATAACGAGTAACAGAATATATTCCAGTGTTTCGAATGCGAAATGTCAGTGGAAATCTAAGCTTAACCTGCAAAATTTTAATAAAGTATATATATTCAAACTTAAGTCAGTCAGATGAAAAACTTGAATTGAGATAAATATCTACACTTTAAAGATAAAACATTTTTAAGTCTCTGTTTAAAATGTATAACGGGCTAGTTGACTCTTCCCGATGAAATTACTAAACTTCTCAGCGTCCCCAGGGATTATTAAGCGAACCACTAGGGGCTCCTAAGGAATTTCTCGTAAAATAGTCTAGCTGTACTGTGCCAGCTTTTCTTATTAAGAGGACGAATTCGAACCACTCAACGATATCGACTAGTTTTTGTTTTTTTTGTCAGCTTTAATCACAAATAGTTTAGTTTGATGAAAATATAACTTTTTGCCGAAAAACAACAACATCAATTTCATATAAAGAGTTTTTCTGTAGAAAAGGACTGTACTCGATGTTTTACAACAGCAAGGTAAAAAAACGACTGTTCAAACATAATTCGTTCTTTTGTTAATAATACATGACCAGTTCAATCATCATCATTATTATCGTAATTAATTTCATCGAAATATCCATTAACTTCATCATCATGTTCCTCATTCAATTCCTCTTACAAGGGAACATATGTAAGTGTCTCCTCGCTTTTTCAACGAAGCCTAGTGGGTTATAGGTTATCGATGATGCTGATTCCGAATATGGATATGAGAGCTGCCCTTAGGGTTTCAAAAATCCGGTTTTCTGGAAAACCATTTTTCAGAAACTCTGAAAAATAACCAAAGCTTTTCTTAATAAGCCATGCTTGTAGCCCGCACATTTCTGATTAAAATGAGACCTCTCCCAACTCTACATGACCTTTCTTTGCAAAGTTATAGAATTTACAAGAAAAGCCCTAAATGTTCATTGTCAATTCGAAGCTACAGAAATAAGAAGAAATTAATTTAGGGCTCTTCGTGTAAATTCTATAACTTTACAAAGAAAGGTCATGTAGAGTTGGGAGAGGTCTCGTTTTAATCAGAAATGTACGGGCTACAAGCATGGCTTATTAAGAAAAGGTTGGTTGTCTTATTTGGTTGTCTTTCAGAGTTTCTGAAAAAATGGTTTTCCAGAAAACTGGATTTTCGAAACCCTAAGGGCAACTCTCATATCCATATTCGGAATCAGCATCATCGACAACCTATAACCCACTAGGTTTCGTTGAAAAATACTATACTTACATATGTTCCCTCGTTAGTGTTCAATGATAAAATCTTCATTTTCATCGTTACCATTGATTCAATCTCAATCAGGTTCTGATTTATATCATCGACAGTTGTTATTATTCTCGTTGCTACTTCTCGTATTTCTTGTACTCGAACAAGAACGTTGACTATCCTTTGCCGATATCTTGCTTGCCGAGACGCGTTGTTCTTATTTATAAGTTTGTCATTTGTTGTTTTATTTAAACCGTGTGCAAACTACAATAAGTCAAAATAAGAATAAATGTCCGTAAATAGATACCTAACTTAGAAACAGTGGAAAACTTCTTCTGCCTTATTTATTGTAGTCCGAACGCAGTCTCTCACTTTTAAAAAATGATGATTTTTCTACAGCAGATCTGATTTGGAAATTTTGCGCTAGTATTGTACCATTGATATCTGAGAAGTAAAAACACAATAACTTTTTTTCTACTGAATGGACCTTTTTTAATTCTTTTTTATTTTATTTGTCTAACGCTTGCCCACTAACACTAAGGGTAGCAGTTCTTTAGCTGCTTTTGTTACTGCCATATAACAGTTGCATTGTCGCACCCCAAGCTTTTTGGTGCCTTCTGCGTTGAAAAATGAATTTTTTTCGAAAGAGGAAATGAGTTCTAATTCTGTTTCTTAGGAATAATTTGAAGCTAAAGACTAACTCGCACTCGAAATATATAAACGAATTAACAGTTTAATTCAATTTTTTATGCAAATAAATTAAAATAATGTTGTTACCGACACTTTGATCTTTTTCTGTTCCGTGAGATTGAATCTCACATATCACAGCTAAAACTAAACGTAATCTTATTATATAGTAGCCAAAAGATAGCCCACAGACTGAGAATCATTTTGATAAAAAAATATACATATCGCCAAATCGAAATATTTTAAAAGCTTCTTCGGTCAAAACCGATTGCAGATTCGTCTTCTCCATAGTCGATTACCTAGTACGCGATAATTTTTGGATCAGGGCGCTTCAGAAAAAAATTTCCTCATGGTCTTGCTCAAAAATTTTCGTAAAAGTCACTGCATGGGGAGAACCAGAGGCAAAATGACGTCGAAAATTTTTTCTAAAGTATCTCGATCCAAAAGTTATCGCGTACAAGATAATCGACTATGGAGAAGACGAAGCTGCAATTGGTTTTAACCGAACAATCTTTTAAAATTTTTCGATTTGATGATATGCATGATCAATGTTCTCCTTACTGTAAAAAGTAACAATTACTTTTTCTGAAAACATAACAAGTTTCATACACTAAATGTCGCGTGAAATTTTCAGTTTTGTTTTTTAATATCTCCGTTAATATTCAACTTTTTGCATCGACTTTTTTAACCTTTTTTCCCTCTGCGATGTACAGCATATGCCCAAAGTTGTGGCTCAAAACAATTTGTCCTTCCTGAAAACAATGAATTTAGATATTTAGATAGAGCTGTATCGATTGATGTATTAGAACAAAAAATTTCAAAGCCATTATTTTATATCGTCTTTATCGCAACGGGCTCGGGGATTATTATGGTTTTCGTCGCGAAAACGCGTTTTTCTGAGAAAAATTGAAGTGACAGTCGAGAAAATTAGTTTTTTTTTATTATTGCTCGGCCTATCAGAATTTACTAAGATAGTCAATAAAAGTCTACAAGGTAGTTTATTTTTTATGGTTTTTACACAGAAGTGGTACAAAGGCAGCGCTAATCGCACATACACCCTGAGGAGTCCTCAGGGACTTTCATTCTCTCTACCCCTCCCCCTTGAAAAGTATAAAATATCTGTGGCAATATTTTAGAGGCCCCCCAGGAATCGCATCAGGGAGTGTCGGCTAGGGACTCTTAAGAAATAATGGGTTTTTCAAATGTTATATTTTGTATTAAATATGTTTACACACACTTCGAAAATAGTTTAGTACGTAGTAAAAGTAGTCTTTGATTGCAAAAAAGTAAAAATGGATCCTGATAAAATCCTATCTAACGGATTTAATTTATTTTCCTTTAGAAGAGAAACTTGAAACTTTCAGGAATATCATGCTATTCTACCTGCCGTAAATTTTAGCCCACATAAAATATTTGGTGAAAAATCTCTTTTAAGAGAAGCTTCTTAACCCACTGCCAAACACATTAACTTCGAGCATTTGCAAAGTCTTACCTTAACGGAACAAAATGGCTTGGCCGTTACTGGTTACAACTCCGTTTTGTTCATCGCTATTTCAGATATCGAGGTCATGGCATGTTACTTCGAAGAACATCAAATCAAACAAAATTTAATACTATAAATCGCATACGTGCACACGAAAAGAGATACTAGCCGTCTAATTTCGTATTATTGAATTGAAAAACAGTATCTCGCCGATTGTATTTGATCGTTGAGACTAATTTTTTAATGTGGTCAGTAAACACGAATGCGGCGAAACATCCTTTGTTCGCCCAGGTATATCTTTTACTATGGCTAAAACTGTCGCAATGGTACATATTCTCGTTGATATAACTACCACTTTCGAATTGTCTTTGATAACTAGCTGTTTCAACGAACTTGCTTATAAAAACCTTGCATATTGTCAAAAAAATAACCTTTCTCTTTATTTTTCTCTAAATGAACAACATCGTTACCACAAAACAGCAAAAATAGTTGGTTTGTTTTATCTGATACAAGGGAAACAAACAAAGAATGCTCATTACATAGAGAGAAAAAGTAAAAACAACGAATATCTATTTTTGAAGAACAAAAACAAAAAATAAGAGAAAACGAAAGAGAGTCTGTGTATTAATTACAACACAAAAAAATAAACATATTTACAAACAAAAAAGTGAATTGGCTAAATATGATTAAATGAGTAGAGTACAGACTTTTTCAATATTAATTGTTCTTCTTGATGATGTATGCGTTATCTATTTTGATGCTTTATAATCCACCATTTCTTTTTCATATCGAGCTTTTTCAGTTTTGGCTCTTTCTTCATATTTTCGTTTAGCATCTTCCCCGATTCCACGCCACCGCTAAAAGATTAAAAAAAAGATTGATTACGAAGGATTATTCATAAGGTGCGTAGCCACGCGACGAAGTAGAAGGGATAAAAAGGCAAACTTGGAAAAATTCTGACATCGCAACTGGTATACGAAGTTTACAAGGACCTAACAAATTCCTTGTTAAGTGAACAAATAAATAAACTTACTTCACCAATCACTTTGGCTATTTCAGCAACCGATAATGATGGATTGTCCTTTTTTATTTTTGGACGTTCATCTTGAGAAAATAAGAAAAATGTTGATAATGGACGTTTGGGAGCATTTGGATCTTTGGCAGCTTTTGGTTGACGAGGCATTCTTATTTATTTTTTTACTAAAATGAGATCAAGAAACGTTTCAAAATTTAAGACTGATAAACAGAACTGATGCTATATATCTACATCGCGCATAATTAACAATTACGAGCTGAAAGAGACTTAAACTGTTCCTAGGGTTCTAGATCTCTTCTTTCACATACAAGATCAAAACAAAAAAAAGACATCTTGACTAGAGTAAAACACTACAATTACTCGAAGAATTTACTTCATCATATGCATGACGATATTTCGAACCATAACAGTTCGACATTAACTTAAAACTTTGATGACTAGTTTCCAGTGACCATCTTCATTATCTTCACCTTCGGTATCTGAATGAAATTGCCACATATCTACAAATCTTGAAATGAATAAATTTGGTGTCAAATTTGAACTTGATTCCGATACATATACGAATAGTTCTTGTTTTTGAGTGTTTTGATCAATATATTAAAGAACGTTGAGAAAGATATGAGGAAAACAAGTTTTTGTTCAAATGGCGTAGTAGACCGTTTCTCTCTTTCAAAACTTCATTCACTATTGTAATGCAATCCATATAATAAAATGTAGATTCTTATCTGCCTAACCGTATGGTAATAATACTTTGCACAAGAATCGTTCTTCGAAGAATAGATGAATATATTATCTCGTTGTTGCCTACATCAATTAAAAAAATTCTTAGCGATGTAGTCTAAAACTCCATCAAACAGGAAATTAGTTGATGCTCTCTATCCATCGGATAATCCTACATAGGTGAAGTTAGTTTATTTGTTATAGGCGGAAACGCGGTTTTATAACTAAACAATGCTTTCTGTCATGCTGCATCATATGGTATTCACATATATTACGATATGTTTTTACACTACTATTCTAATTGTACAATTATCGATCTAACTTTGCTTCTAATAGAATTGCTGACTATTGAACAAATTCTATACTTAATGAATACAATTGCTCAGGTAGAACATATACAGTAACTCACATTTCCGCTCCTATACTCTAACTAAAAGATTTTTTAATTCTAGGCGTGTTAGTGTATGTCACATATGAAGTATATACGAATGGAAAGTAGTTTTGTTATAGCGCTATTTTAACACTTTCATCGACTAAATCAGCAATAGATGGGTTCTCTCACCCGGTTGAGTGTAGATATATATCAGTTTTGTCGCATCAAAATCCAGTAATTAAACTCTAACTGATTTTTGTTGTACTCATTTCCGAGAGTTCTATCCAAATAGTAAACTTACATAGTATTTGAATACAATAGACGTTGTATTGAACTTGAAAGAGATGCCGTTACTTTGGTTGTGTTGAGTGGTAGAAGAGAAACGCTGTATCGACAATATATGTGTTCTCTGAGAGAAGTTAAGATACGAATGAAACTGACTGTGTGTATGTTTTTGCTTGCACTATAGACGATAGAGAAAGGAAAGGGAAGAGAAATGTGCTGTGGTGTGTGTACGTTGTTCTCTTTCTATATGCCTTTGCTGGTTGTATGCGTGTGTCGTTTGAATATACAGAATAGAAGAATCTATGCACGTAGCTGTTGAAATAGACACTACACAGTACATAGTGCACACACATACATACTGCATACTGAATTTCTCTACAGAATGAGAAAAAATATAGAAGGAAAGCAGAATTCTTCACTGACGGCAGTACACAAAGCCATAATGGCAAGTTCATAAAGAAAAAACATGCATATAGACAGACTAAAGCCGACTTGAGAAATATTGACAAATGATGATGGTTATTCTAGAATGGAACGAGGCACAATAGACAAAGCTAATTATAGATCCTAACACTATAAACTATCGAGATGGAAGATTTTTATCTTCTAGGTAGTCTTTCAAATCGAGTATTGTATTGTTAATAGATTTTTACAGTCGATCTAAAGATCCTTGGAGACTTGGAAGTTTTTAATTACTAGCCGTCAATCTAATTGGATCCAAAGTGTATGAAAAGACATTGAAAGAACGTTTTTTAATGTACACAAGCTTCGATAAAGCGCAATGAATAAACAACTCTCGGTTCTGTGCAGTTCGATTGACTTATATTATGCTTATATTGTGGATAAGTTAAAAAATGTTAAACTATTCACCCATTAGTTTCTTACGATATAGACGATTTATCTGTATCTAATTAGTTTTCTATAAAGTTTACTACTAATTGTAGCTTCTGTCAGAAGAGACATACTGCTCTCTAAGATGAAAGAGCCACCAGTTTCTTTGTCTGTATAATGATGTCATTCCACGTAGGATAATCGCTTAAGTTGACAATAGAATGTCAAAGAAAATAAGTGAAGCACATTTTTAAAAAGAGCAGATGGAAGAGGCGGAAGTAAATCGTTTATTCTGTGTAAGAAATCGTTGTTGTTTGAATACTAATAAAAAAAAGATATCCACAAATATTTATAAATAAGTTTTCTGGTTTTTGTTCTAATTATTCTCCGCAGGACGATAGTATCAATGATTAGGTTTCCCACCAGGGTTTGTTAGAAATAAAAACACCATTTTTGAGCATGTTGATCTAATTGAAAGATAGTCAAGCGACCTATTACCGTTTTTAAACGATTGTTATCGGTTCAAACAATCGACGGTTAATCTGTTGTATGTCATAAATACTATTTGTTGCAACATATGACAAACACTGCTAATTATGCTAATTATGTTCTCAGAACGAACAAAGACTACAGTTAGACAGATCCTGTAACTTGAACTAGATGACATGATCATCAACGTAAGTTCTGACATTTGAATTATTAAGTCATAATAAAAAAAAGTTACAAAAATCCTTAGACTTTCACCGACATAGTAGATCTTAAGTTTTTCATTAGAAAAAATATTTTTAGTGAAAAAAAGGATTGATCTTGCTCAATTGTATAAAAAACAGGAATTCGTCGATCTTTGCTTTCTAACTTCAATAAATTCAAACGTACCATGTTGTACTATCATGTATTGGATAGTAGCATTATAATATATAGTTTGTTACAGAAAAAATAAAGATAACTTGTAATTAATTAAAGGATCGAATAGAAAGAAGCACATCTTTTTCTTGGCTTATTTCTTCAAAGTATATGTTGGGCCCTTTTCCTAAGCTATTTATATATGCTAATATAAAAAAGAAATCCAATGCCAAATGAGAGAGATTGAAATGAGTTACAATGTGATATAATATTCGAAATTGAAAAATTTGAGAGATATGAAGGATCATGCACCGTATTTAGAGCTAATATTTCTAAGGAATAATTGAAATGATAGTACTAATAAATACTGACGAGATTTTCTCGAAAACAGATCAGAAAATCAGTTTTTCATTAGAAGAACAAAAACTAAGGAAGTCGATATCGGATCCTCGAGGTTTGTATTTTAAAACCAGTTTGGTGATCTGTCGAACATTTTTAGGCAATTTATTCCACATGTCGAATATTTTTATTTAATGCCGTCGGTTGCCGTGATATAATCTGAAATCGCTCATTATACCGGCAGTAATCGGACGGTATTCTCCACATAGCGGAGCGAATAATACGGCTCGGTACACCGTTGCAAAATTATTCGTCTTTTTGTTTTGATAGCTAGAAGAGTATATAACACCGACATAAAATTAAGAGATTTCTCACTGACTCGTCGACGTACATGACCTTTGGCTTGCGCTAGACAGTTAGACGACTGTCGTCTGTGACTATCGGTCAGTCTAAAAATAAAATGAAGATCTTGGAAAACTATCAGCGATATTCATTTTTTACTGGCAGTATTTACGGTCCGTATACGAACAATATTTTCTTTTAGAGGGTGATATTTAGCACGGTGTACCAAACGGCATACGGGCAGTATTTTGACTGTATTCAAGATATGGTTTAGTTCCCCTACAGCGACTTTTTGAAACAATAATTGTTCTGAAAACACTTATTATTGGTTTATAAGATTTTGTGGTAACTGTAGAACCATGAAAAACGATTTATTCTTGGAAATATTTTGATTTCTGTGCATCGTCAGGCAAGTTGGCCCTGAGACTGATTCCGCTTCTTGTAACCATGTCTTGAATACAGTCAAAATACTGCCCGTAAGCCGTTTGGTATACCGTGCTATATACCATCCTCTAAAAGAAAATATTGTTCGTATATCGACCGTAAATACTGCCAGTAAAAAATGAATATCGCTGATAGTTTTCCAAGATCTTCATTTTATTTTTAGACTGACCGATAGTCACAGATGACAGTCGTCTAACTGTCTAGCGCAAGCCAAAGGTCATGTACGTCGACGAGTCAGTGAGAAATCTCTTAATTTTATGTCGGTGTTATATACTCCTTCTAGCTGTCAAAACAAAAAGATGAATAATTTTGCAACGGTATACCGAGCCGTATTATTCGCTCCGCTATGTGGAGAATACCGTCCGATTACTGCCAGTAGAATGAGCGATTTCAGATTATATCACGGCAACCGACGGCATTAAATAAAAATGTGGAATTCGACATGTGGAATAAATTGGTTTTATACCACCGCTTTGTAGTTTCAGAAGAGTTGATAGTATGTACGTTGAACATCGACAAATTGGGTAAGTCGATCTTCCGAAGCGAAGCGGTTATTTATAATCTTACGAATCATCCTGCTGATTTATCTAGAGAAACGACAAATTTATTGTTAAACTACTCTATGAATCACGCGAGTTTATTTGGTTTACAGATGGCGATTTTTACTAGGCCTGCACAAGTTCACGTTTCGTTTCTTGAACGTGAACGCTAAAGCACGTTGGCGTTCCTTGAACGTGAACATTAAAGCACTGGTGGACGTGGGCTTTTTTTATACGAACGGTGTTCATATCGTCTGAAGTAAATATAAACTTCTGTTCTTGTACTTTAATAAGAACATGCATATTTCTGCTGGGTCTTATCTGATCAATAGAAATTCTAGTGAAGGATCAGATGGTCTGCCCAGAGTGGTGACCAGATTATTACAACGTAAAAAGGATACCCTTTTATTCTCTGATCAAGACATGGATTCTTCCAACAACAGATCGCAGATTTCCTGACCAGAAGGCTAGTTTTTCCAGCACTGGAACCGAAATTTCTTGGTCAAAACCATTACAGTAACTACATACGTTTTTCTTTGTATCCTAACCCATTTGGGACCAACGTTGATTTTTCACTAAATATATTGGTAATGGACTGTTTCACTTGATATACTACTAGGTGAAATTGCTATATAACGTTTTGCAATACTATTTATTCCACACAAGATCAACACCGTTCATATAAAGTAACGTTAACGTTCATCAGAACATTCGCATTCACGCTCAAAAAACGTCATGTTTAGCGTTCACGTTCAAGGAACGCCAACGCGCCTTAGTGTTACGTTCAAAGAAAAGGCTAAAAAGGAACACTGAACTTTTGCAGGCCTAATTTTAACTTTCAAACTCGATTTTGAATAAATTCATAGGATAAATTCATACCACTTAAAATTTTACCGAAGATGGGACTTCTTATGCTCTATCAATCGCTGCGATTCTGGCGGTGTTACAATGAGTGAAAAGAGTGTGTCATGATCAAAACTGAAAAAGACTCGATTTTTACTGGTTTCGATGATGGTATTTCGAACTTTTCTACAGATTCGATTTCAGTTGCAGGATTTTGAGAACATCCTGAAAGAACGTTCAATTTTTACATATATATGACTATGTATGAGAGTTCTGAAAACTGATTTTTGTTAGTAGCGCGGTAAATGGTGCAGAAACAAAATGGCGGTACTCAAATACAGTAAAAATCATTTTTTTCATGAAAATTCATTTTTTCTAAATTTTAGAAAACGATATTCATGATCAACATAAAATTCTTCATTTAGTCCATATTTTGTTACATAAATGTGAGAAAAATAGTTTTTAAGAAATCCTTTGGAAAGCCGAAGGCGACAAAAACCTTCCACGAAAATTTCGAGAAACTAAGTCATAGAAAATGTTCCCAATAACCGTCTGACATGCTTTTGGTAGAAAAAAGAATAATTCCCTTAGGTGCAGAAAACCTGTCTTATCCGCCCTATTGCGCTTTAACTTTTCTCATTCACATCTTTTATTGTTTTTATATGTTTTGATGCAGGTTCATTAGCCAGTTCTGATATCACGTTTATTTTGGCTAAAAATGGTTTGAATAGAAATAGATTTTACAAGAAAAAGAAGTTGTTAAAATTCGTAAAAATTCGCGCATTTTTGCACACGGTCTATTGATATAGTAAACATAGAAGGATATTTGTGCACAGTTTGACTGAGATTAGCTGTGCAAAAACTTATTACACTGGATGTTATCTCACAAAAGTATCAGTATGAAAAAGTAATTTTTCCATAAACTTCACGTACAATATTCAAGAAAATTTTCTCGTCATTGAGCCGTCTAAGAGCTCTGCATTAAAGAATATAAGCCGTTAAAAGGCATCAATTCTTTTAGGTTACATACTAAATTTCTTATCATAAGTTGAGTGGAAAGCATAAGCAAGTGATGAAAAAGATAACGTGAATTTTTTTCTCTTGTTCGGATATTTTGACAATATTTTTAAAAAAAAATTAGAGAAAATGTCATTTTTTATTTCTGCCGATGTTACGAACGAATCATATGTTTTAGATTTATATTTTTACTAGTGATGCTCTGGATCTGCATTTCAGATGCAATTATCTCTAGGAACTGAACACCAATAAACATTGCCATCTCTTATGAAATCCGTGTATTACAGACCCAATCGATTCGAAATGAAACTGTTTGTTTATTCAACATCGGCTCTATTTCTTCATACGACAATTAGATTATTTTTTAAAGAACAAAGAAAAAATGAAGTTTTCGAAAGATTGTATGGATACAAAATTGAACATGATTCAAACCGAGATTTGGTATTCAAGTAAGTGTGGCAACTCTCTGTAGGATTTTTAGTTATCATTTATTTTTGTTTTCTCTCGTTTAGTACATCGCTAATTGACACTTATGATCGTAATGGTCACATTGAAACGGCATCCATCTACAAACATTATCAAGTCCGAAATCATATTTAGTAGCGGAACTCAAGATTATAGTAGCAAAATGTTAGCCTTATCTTTGCTGCTAACATATCGCTTGAACAATTTAATTTTATCGCATGGACAAGTTTTAATCTTTGTCTTGATACTCAACAAGTAACAATTAGGTTCCATTGATTTGCAACGAGCGAGCTAGAGCATCCATCTGAAACAAAATACAGATCAGATGGTCACTCATTTAAAGATGAATAGATAATAGCACATACCATTATTGCATAAAACACTCTATCTCTTGTCTGTGTGAATTTGCTCAAAAACGTGTTTGGCTTCATTAAGCAAACCCGAATTATTGCATGAGTTCATTACAATTGGAGATGTTCTACTGTCAGGTTTACATTGATGGTCGAGCATTGTTTTATACAATTCTAAAACATCTTGTCCTAAACCATTGACAGCGTAAGAGGTTAACAAAGAATTCCACAGAATCGTTGTTTGTTGATCTCTAGGTACTTCATCAAATATTTTACGAGCATTTTCAACATTACCACATTTCCTAGAACATAAAAGATAAAAAAGATGCGTGTCATGTTTTACATTGACAACTAACCTACCCATACATATCGATAAGAGCAGCGTATAATTTAACGTAACTTTCGGCGGTTATAAGATGTGGTTGTTTGAGAAGATCAGCGTGAACTTGTGAACCTTTATCTAAACACGACGATCAGACTTTCTTAATGTGATAAAATAAAATTGTTCAAGCTGTATCTTAATGCAAAGTTAAGGCTAACGGTTTGCTACTAAATATGTTTTCTATCCAGCATTTTTCTTTTTAATCTGATAAAAAGAGGACGAGGTAGATTTTAGTAACTAAAAGACTTTTCTGAGTAACTACATTTCAGTTGCTCAGATTAGCATAACAAAACAATAGTATTTACTTACTGTTATTACTCACTATTTTTGTAGTGCTTAAAAAAACTGACTTATTTAGCGAATCCACTCAGTAGATGTGTAATGTATTTTTCGCTCATTACTGAATAACTCAAATTTTTCTGAGCGAGAGAATTCCTCCTTCTCTACCTCACCTAATCGAAATCACTCTTAGTCAAATATAATGCTGTTTTTGCAGTGATACTCCTCTCAATACAATATTTATATAATTGTCAGATTGACCAATATGTCCTACATAAGATACGCAAGAAGAAAAAGTCATCAAACCATTTGTAAAGGAATTTAAATTCAAACAATAGCTAACCTAAACAACTATTTCCTATTTTGCCACAAGCAGTAAAGGCTAGAATATAAATGACATAATTTGGTTGCACTTGATTTTTTTTATCTAGTAATAATTCATCATATAAATCGAGAGCTTCTTTCGCCATTTCATTTTGAATATAACATTTCATCATTGAGCCGTAAGTATATACATTTTTCTTTGGCATAGATAAAAATAAACGAATTGCATTTTCAATCTGACCGTTACGACCATAAGTGTCAATCAACGATGTACTAAACGAGAGAAAACAAAAGTAAATGGTAACTAGAAATCGTACAGAGAGTTGCCACACTTACTTGAATACCAAATCTCGGTTTGAATCATGTTCAAATTTGTATCCATATAATTTCTCGAAATCTTTTTTTAATTCTTTTGCTTGTTTTTCATATCCCAATTTGCTATACGCATTCATAGCCATTTTGTACGAGGTATCATCTTTATCCATTTGTTGCATATGATCAAATAATTTCAATGATTTCTCAAACATACGATGAATATTATATCTAAGTACAAAACAGAAAACGCTTTTCTAGCGATCACCAAGAGATAGTTGGAAAAAAAAAGATAATATAGAACTAATCGATTACTTTCCCTTTCAAGTATACATAAATCATACACATACCCTTTCATCATTGTGTTATAGGTGATTGTATCCCGTTGACCACCGGGTATTTCATAAAAAAGTTGTTCAGCTTCGACGATTTCTTCACTAGTACCACATTTTGCATAAAATGATATTAATGTATTTTTTAAACGTAAATCAGCTGTTTGACTTAGATCGATATGTGGATTTTGCTTGATAATCGAGTGAATTTCTTTACCTGAAACAGAAAAAAAACATCGGTATGTGTTAAAACAGTAATTTGATGAAATTTAAACATTAATTGGATAGTGGCAACATAAGTAGGACGTATAACGCCATTCGTCAACTAAAAAGATCACTTTCGCGTTTATGAAATGACGTTAAGGTTATCTATCAGTTTTGCTATTCTGTGTTGCATATACCATACCTTTGCTGAAATTTTTTGTTCTTATACATGCTTGTAATGCTAATAAACAAATGAATGAATTTGGAAGGAGTTGTTTTGTTTTTGTAATTTCGTCGAATAATTTTAAAATTTTGCCTGAGTCTTCTTGTTTATTTAACTCTTTCATTTTGGTTGCATAGTCGATGATGACATCTGAATCATTGGAAACAGGTTTCCGATAGGGAACATTAATCACCGATCGAATGAACAACGATGGATTTGAAGATAATGCATGATGAATCAAATAACGCAACATGCTTTTTCACGATCTGAAACTAAAACAAAGAAAGGAGATCGTTTATAGTAAAACAAGATATCATTCGTACTACACAAAAAGTTCTTTCGGAAAACAAAAAAAATAGCTTAGCAGAGATAAGACTGTTGAGAGACATTGAAAAGAGCTGAAAGTGTTAAATAATACGCCTTACGAGTTGGAAGGATGTTCAGTCAGGAACAGTATGTATGTAAGTGCTGATACGAAGACTCTAGGAAACAAGACCAAACAAACTATATTCATTTTACGGGAAGTCCAGTCTGTCAAAAGCAGCAAAATTCCGCAGAAAAACAATAAAAAAGAAAGCCTGTGGAACCTTTCGTAAAATGAATGTAACGGGTGGCGCAGAATGAATGGCGGTCTCAATATTTTCTATTTTTCTCGTGTTTCTCTTTAAGACCCTAAGATTAGTGTTTTTCTTTAGAAGATGCGCCGCGAAATACTCTATAAAACCATACTCAAACTTTCATTTTAGAACTTCAATCAAGAAAACCACGCAGATTATACGAAAGACGAAAAAACTGAAAACTTTCTAAATTTAGTATTTTTTTCGACTTGAACTTTTTTCTTCTGCTATTATTTCCGTAGAAAAGTATAGTAAAAGTGAGAACGCAGTTCTTTTTGTACTTTTGAATGTGCGCTTTCGCGTAGTCTGAAAAATTTCTTTTTAGAGCAGATGGTGTGCTGGAAAACGAAGTTAAAAAATACGTCAAAAATTGACAGCCCGGCGTTTCCAACAATGTGTCAAGGCAAGAAGCGGATAACATGAATGAAGTTTTGATTTTGCAGTTAGATACAGAAGAGCAATCATTTCTGATCAAAACAAAGCAAATCCGATCGAAAAAGCCTTTGGTTTGATGAACTTATGGAAGCTTTACTGAAAGCACCCCTATAACCAGAATTAAAAAAATATCAAATTTTCAGTCTTTTATATTTTATCTTAAAGAGGGTAAATGGAGCTGATTGTATTTAGGGAAGTGGAAGTGCGAAAACTGCAGCTGTGAGACAATAAAAAAGACTTCCTAAAAAATTTTGTTCCGATTTCGCCCACTGTGTGTTTCAGAACAAAAAACGACAGAGAAAACGGACCGTCAATAAATCAATTTACATCACCTCGAAGATCAAAGAGTTAATGATAATATTAGGCTCACGCTGCTGAACGCAAAACGGCAATGCTTATGACATCGCGTTCTTTGGAGTGTACTTTTCTATTGGCGAATACAGAAGAAAAAGAAAAAAAGGTTAAGAGATGTCGCGTATTGTATGTAAGTCACTAGCTCACGTCTTTTCAAAAAAGAATTATAGAGATTAACTGTGATTTTAGTTGTAAAATCACAGTTAATTTGTAGTTACAAGTTGTAAGTTACAACTCGATTGATTTGTGCCCCCTAGTGAAACTTCTTTTGACTAAGATCTTGACTTCTTGGAATTTTTTCAGTAAGCCCTTCATGAAAATGTAACAAGCAGTTTCCCTAAGGACTGATAATGTTTCCAAGCAAACGTGGAATAAGCTTATCATTGCCGCCAGCTTTTGATCGGGTTGCTTATTGAAAATATAATGATGTTGTTTGGGATAAGAGTTCTTTGCCAACACACCAAGATCAATAAATCCGACGGTGGGATCCTATAGGATTCCTATGGAATTCTGTGTAATCCCTATAGGATCCTATCAAATTCGAGTAGGATCCTAGAGGAAAGTCATTGCATAGTTTAGAGCTTAATTTGCCCCATGATATCCTATGGTAAAATCTTGTAGGATTCGTATGCAAGATCTGATAGGATCCTACATAGAATATCATAGAATTTCATAGGAATCCTGAAACGTTCGAAACCAAAATATTCAGCCTTGAATCAGCTGTTTTTTTACTGCTACCTTTATTTATTTATTTTTTGTCCTTTGGATTTTTTCCCGGTCTCTGATTCAGAGACTAAGATGAACCTTGTCACAGCTGAGTGCGCTTCTAGGTTGATGATCACACTGTTCAGTGCTAAAATTTGAGTTTATTCAACTCGACTTTTATGTTTTTCAGCGTGGTATTTATAATTGTTTCTCTGAGAAATAAAACGGTGAATAGATTCATGCACAAAGGATGATAGAACAGCGAAAAATAGGAATTTTACAATAAGAATCTTGGCAGGATTTTCATAGGAAATTCATAAGATTCCTACAGGAATTCTATGATATTCTATCAGCTGTAGAATGCTACATAGGATTCATTGACCTGGGCAATCAGAAGTGGAGAGACAGCTGCTATAGTCAGTACATTGATATCATGATCCTTAATATGTATCAGCAGACGCTCATTAATATTTGTTACCGATAAACAGGAGTTTGAAGATTTGAGTACAATCAACTGTTTCCCGAGATACGTTAATCACTTTTCATTATGAATGACATATAGCTAGCAATTCTTGAACTTTGGCTATAGCAAAGTATCAGAGACACTATACCATCATTCATATCAACTGAGATGAACAGAACTGTAAATAACTACATCTAATATTTTTGCTAATCCTCATGTGATTAACATAGATTAGATATTTTCCAGATAAGACGGATTCGTATTATTGTCTCTTCTTTGTCAGTATGATGCTGACCAGTTTTGTTTCAAAAATGCACGCATCAAATGGGGACTGGACGAAATTCTTTGTTGTCTCGTCTTGTGTTGTTCCGGCTTATCGAATTTTCTAAAATAAAAGCCATTTCGTTCCATCAATTTTTCTTAAGTTTTCAACTGATCCTTCCATATTTCAGTAATGTGTTTACAGTAGAAATTCAATCGATATTCGAGAATTCTTGTCCCTGTTAAATAGGAAGAGGAAAAGAAAAACTATGTATGCACTTGAAATCTGTTCAAAACTTTGAATGCATAATTCATTATGATGTTGGTGCTATTCGCTTTTTATAGACAGATTGAACGTACCTTCGAAATTAACCTTTCAAATATCAAATAATCTTCAAATATGAAAACTGAAACCCTGAAATGACTAATAACTGTGTAAATAACTTAACTATTTTAAGAAGCGGATATTTAGAGAAAGATCAAAGGTAAATCCAGACCTCTTCAGCTTTTCTTTACTAAAAAAAATATTTTCTAGTTTCAGGAAAGTTATGTAGTCATATTGCACTTTTTTATCGTCTCGAACAGAGATAATAGGCTGCAGTGAATTAACATTAGCAGCAGTCCAATTACAAAACATGAAAATTGAGACCAAAAATCAGCGAACAAAAGACAAGATAAACATTTTACACTGATATAATAAGCAGTTTTATTTTATTGTACTGTTGAAAGAACTGCGACTCTGATCTGATTGTTTTGTTAAATAAAATGAATACTCCATTAAATCCATTATAAAACCAGCAGTATCAAATAGTGTTGTTCCAGACGTAGATTGTCTTACCCATTAATTGGTTCTCTTGAAATTCTATTATGTTCATCGACGAATAAATAAACTCGTTTTAAATTCATATTATTAGCTGTTGATTGACGATCATCATCTTCTTTTATTACTATTGGTTCATAACCTAAAACAAGCATGTCCCTTTATATATATTAGATTAGAATGAAATAATACTCGTACCTTGTCGAAGAAGTAATTCAACAGCTTGTTGACTGTTAGCTCCAACAAGTTCGGGCCAAGTTTTGCCTTCTTCATAATTAATTCCACTATGCATTATTTTATACCACTGTTACTGTGAATGAAAATGGTGACTGGTTGCTGATATATGAAGAGATTATTTTGCTCAATTACACTTTGATTGAGGTACAAAATGTCTTTTTTTCTCTTGCAAAGAGCGAAGGATAATCACTCGTGCATGACTTTTTGTATTAAAATGTGAGTAATATGTATTTTCTCTTCTTTGCATGATGCGACAACGAAGTACTTAGAGGATAATGAACACCTTTGAGAAAGTATAGCAAAGATATATTAGACAAATATAATAACCATATATTTGCATTTCTTTATAATAAATTAGTTTAGTAATAATTTATAAAAAAAAATATAATATTGTTTTTTTCTTTCTCACTTTTTTACCTATGTACATTAACTTTGCAGAACATGATGTCTGATAAAGTTTTTGAACAGTTGTTTTGTACTGTCATCAATATATAAATACTCTTCAGTTTTAAACAATTTTTCAATTAGCTTAAATTGTTCATCTATCCATGTTGTTAGTGTCATTTCAAATAAATTAATTTGATCTTGTGTCCAATGAAATCGCTGAAAACTGTCGTTAGTTGTTGATGATTTTTTCTTATTTCGTCGAAACCGTTTGGGTAAATTATCTAAGAATGAACCACCATTATGAATTTCAGTACGTTTTTGTTCAAATAACTGATTTATTGAACTTAATTTGTAAATGAACATTTTCTTTGCAAACATGTTAAGTTGTTCGACATCAGCGTAAGGATTCGTCAACCACATATCATTTTCATATAATGATATTAGCATTATTTCTATCAGCTTTTGTTCATATGGATGAATTTTACTGCCATTGAAGGCAAAACAATTGTACAGCCAATTGTTGACGTACATAAATGTTACTCCAACGAATAATTGATCGGGTTCTTGACCAAAAAGATATTGAAATAGTTTTTCGTGTATCAGATTACTGTTACTATTAATATTTTCAACATTTTCACCATGTTTTATTAGAACATAACCCGTTTTACAGTATATACCATTGAGAATAAACTCTGTGTGATTATTGTATGAATAAATGATAAAGCCGACATGAGTTTTTGTCTGATCGAAACGGTCAGAATAGGGTAAAATATGTAATTGGTTTATATCAATCATTGCAGAATTATTATCATTCTCCAATATTTTAGTATTTGAATAATTTGTACCTACACATAGAATCAATTTAATACAGAGAAAACGCCATGAAAATAAAAAAAAAACAACTTCCAGTGCTGAGTGTTCAAATTTTAAAATAAGTTATAAAAAATTAAAAACGATTTTCAGCCCATATACTAATTCAGAAAATTAATTCAACTTTTTTGGAAAATCGTCGTAGATTTTTCAGAAAATTGCAAGTGATACTCTAGAAAATAAATTGGTTTTGCATAAAATCAACGACGCTTTTTAAACTTGAAAATCCCCGGCGAATTTGTATGTCGACAAATTGAAAATCAAAAGTGGAATATATTTTTAAAGAAGTTGAAAATCTAGAACAATTTTTTACAGTTGTTCAGCGTCCTTCTCATTTAAACTTTTTTTCATTGTTTGCTTTATATGGAATCCAAAAAAGCTTTACTGAGGACAGTAAAACGATGCTTTAATACAGGTGAATGAATAAGAATTAATTAATTCTGTCTCATCAATTTTCTACCAGAACAAAACACATACAGCAGCAGCATTCCTAACTCATTTGCTAAAAGCTTGTAAGATCGTATAGCAAGACAATAAGTATAGCTAAGAAATCTGTGTTGCAGGAATTCATAAGATCGCGAAGTTACACAGAGAAAAATCTGTGTTTTTCAGAGAACAAATACTCCATATAGAGATCTAAAAAACTGAAAAACAAAAAGTTGTTTTTTGGAAACTGAAGAACTAAGTTTTGTTCTTCAGTTGTCTAAAGAGCAAAACTTTTGTGTTCTTCGAGAAGCTGAAGACCAATATTTAAACTAAGTTTATTAAACGACAAATCGAGCTATGCTCATTACATGATGTGACAATGTGATCAAAAGAGAAATACAGTTAAAAAGACCATTAAAAAGACCAATATTCAGTTTTTCGTTTTCTAAAAAACAAGTTTTGCCCTTTATTTTCTGAAGTTTAGTTTCAGGTTTTAGTTGTTCAATATTTTGGATCTCTATATATAACAACTGATAAATACAATTTTTTAACAGTGTACACATTAACAAAGTCAAGAAGTTACAAAAAGCACCGTGATTTTGCACGATCGTACGACAAGATCTTGTAAATTCATATCAAAAGATCCTTTAAAATTTAAGATTTTACAAGAAAATAGCAGGTCCTTTAAGCTTTTTAGAACACCCGTTTACCCCACGATACTTCTACAATTAAATTATTTTCTGAATTCAGACGTTTGTAGAGCAAGCTTTTCTGATCAAAACGAGAAGCATAGTAGAACTCCGTACAACCTTCCCTTAAAGAGTTACAAGTAATTTCCTGCAACTCCTAAATGCATGGAGTTTTTCTCAAAAATTGCTTTTTAGAAAACCCGACGTTGTCATTTTCCGGTTTGTTTCTGTATTTTACATGCTATAAAGCTCGGATTGGTTTTAAAAAACGTGAAGAATATTGACTTTGACTTAAAGCAGCCGGATTTTTCATAAAAATTTTCGAATAAAAAAAGTATTTTTTGAACTTTTTAGATAAAACCTCTGGGAAAAATAGGCTAATCTGATTGTTATAGCATGTCAAACAGAGCAGAAATCTGTAAAATGATATCACCTACTTTTTGACTATTATTTTCGAGATAACTCTAATAAAACCCAAGTTTTCAATCTTAAATGTTCACCTTAACCAATCTAATCTTTGTAAAACTAAAATTCCGTGAGAATTTGGCAGAGGATTGTTAAAACACATGTTTTATCTTGATAACCTAGGCGTATAAAAGTCGTTAGAAACGGCACGAAAAACGCGTTTTGAAGCAAACGCGTTATCCTTAAGTTTTGAACGTGAAAAACGCGTTTAAATGCTCTTTTAACGGTCGTTCGCTAACGTGTTCGACAAAAACATGGCTCTTTTAACGATCGTTTACTAACGCGTTTTTCGTGCCTCTACCGATTTTTTCTTGAACTTGAAATTTTTTGTTAAGTACTTATTTTACTGCTCTCGATAGTTTGTTGTCAGCTAATGTCATGTCAAGCGAGTATGGTTGAATGGAAAAGGTGGAAGAATGGTAAGACAAAAGTTGATGATTCAAATCTCTGTAGCTTCCCTCCGTTTTTATTATTTTTCGTTCAGCTCAATACGCGTTAATTAACGTTCTCATTGTCGTTTACATTCATCGAAACGCGTTATGAAATTCCGAAAAACGCGTTTTCAAACGAATAGATTAAAAAAAGCGCGTTGGTTTTGAAACCTTTAACGCGTTTTTTTGTCAATTTTTTTACCCTCGGGGAAATGGCATTCTATGGTAAATTTTTGAAATGTAGGAATTCTGACATTTTTGACATAAATGGATAACAGAATAGTATTGACAAATAATTAGTTTCTTGATTATCAACTTCTCTCTCCACTAAAACTTATTTTTCGTTAATCTTGATGGAATATGTTACTTTCTCATTTCGAAAAATCAAAAACTATAACTATGCGAAATAAAACTACGTTTGTTTAAAACCATTTTTTCATCAAGAGACATCTCTATATAGTTATATAGTTAGTCTCTTGATGAAAAAATGGTTTTAAACAAACGTAGTTTTATTTCGCATAGTTATAGTTTTTGATTTTTCGA